ACGCCAGGCACTGGCCGACATGTGCCTCTCTGTTTAGGTCTGTTACTACGTCTTCTGTCTTCTGTGCCCTCAGAAGATTCCAGGCTCACGCGGGTAGGAGCGGGTCCCTGGCCCCACGCCCCCATAGCCACCCATCTGTCCCTGGAGCTTCCCCTGCTGGCTCTGTGCTCTCCTCCTGTGTTCCTGCGTCCCCAGGCGGTGCTCACGGCCACAGTCAGAGAGCCCTCCCTGGTGTGTGTGGGGTCAGCCCCCTCATAGGGACCCCTCCAGCACGAGCACCTCTGTCGCGGTCTGGGGCCTCTGGAGAGCACTCCATGGGCTGGCTCAGGGAAGTATCTGACAAGCTTGTGCAGGCAGAGTGATCTACACAAAACTGGCCAATATTTCTGCACTCAGTCACTTCTCTCAAAGACTGGCAAAGGTCGCCAGGGGCATCCTAGACCCATGCTCCTTCGTCCTGTGACGGTGACAGGAGGCACCGCGGGCCCCTCTCCCTCCTTCCTGGGCTTCCCTTGCACCTTGGCGGGCCCACGTGAGGGGGTTCTGGCCGCTGGAAGTGCCGCGTACCGCTGCTGGGCTGTGCGAGGTCCGATGTCCTGACCCACAGCATCTTCCCTTTCTCTTTCTTCCCGTCCACGTGGCCGGAAGCTGGGGTGATGATGACGGGCCGCAGTCTGGAAGGAACTTGCAAGCCCAGGTTCCTCCCAGAAGAGCGACAAGGGTCACACCATCTGAACTTTGTGTGAGCGAAATACAAACCTTTGTTTTGCTGTGTCGTGTGCTGGACCGTGTCCCCCAAGATGCCGAAGTCCTAACCCCCCCATATCTTATTTGGGATGAGGGTTTTTGCAGAGGAAACAAGTTTAGTTGAGGCCATCGGGGGCCCTGATCCAATACGACTGGTGTCCTTAGGAAAAGGGGGACGTTTGGACACAGGGACGCACACAGGGAGGCCGTGTGAGGAGGCAGACTGGCTCTCACACAAGCCAAGAAACACCCATAATTGCCAGAAGCCACCAGAATCCGGGCAGAGACCTGGACCAGACTCTCCCTTACAGCCTCCGAACAAAGCCGCCTGCTGACACCTCGCTCTTGAACTCGCAGCCTCCAGAGCCGGGACAGAATCCAGCGCCCCATGTGCGCCACGCTGGGACGGGAGCCCCGGGAGACTCCCACGGGAAGATTTGGGTGGTGGCACTCCCAGCAGCTGTTAGCGCTCGGCCATGAAACCCCGACTTCCTCTGAGGTGCAAGGAGCCGGGACAAAAGCCATCTCTGTGCGTTCTCCACAGCCAGTGGGACGCGGGACTAAGCTGTGACCGGCAACAGGAACGCGGGCGTGCGGGTGGCCCTTGCAGGAAGCCAGCCTGCAGGGACGGTCGTGCTTTGCCCTCTCTCCACCTTCCGGCCACTTTGCATCACGAAGCCGCTCGAGGGTGGAAGTGACGAGCCGGACCAGCGGTGGGGCAGGCAGGAGGGCATGATGACTGTGGAGCTGGCGTGGCAGACGGGGATGCACACAGACAGCAACGTGTTCCGTCCCGTTGAAGCGACTGCTGTGTTAGGGTTCCGTGACACCGCCAGACCCTAGCTGACACGCGAGGTTCTTCTACTTTAAAAGAAGCCTTTGGGGCGCCCGGGTGGCTCAGTCGGTTGAGCGTCCGACTTTGGCTCAGGTCAAGATCTCTCAGTCTGTGGGTTCGAGCCCCGTGTTGGGCTCTGTGCTGACAGCTTGGAGCCTGGAGCCTGCTTCCGATTCTGTCTCCCCTCTCTTGCTCTATACCCCTCCCCCACTGATGCTCTGTCTCTGTCTCTCAAAAATGAATAAACATTAAAAAAAAAACAAACCTTAAAAGAAGCCTTTGTGCAGGTCTGATGTCCTGACCCACAGGGATGAATATGATGGACAGCCTTGTGGGCACCGTGTGGGGGGCAGTGGGCATCCGGGAGGCCTCTCCGTCTCCCCTCAGACCACCGTGTCTGCACATAAATCAGACCCTGATGAACCGCTCTGCTCCTCTTGGGCAGTGGGCGCCTCCAGCCACTCAACCACGGAGTCGTTCTTTGTCCAGCCTGGCGGCTTATGCCCACGTTCTGGAAAACTCTGAGCTACAGCGAGAACTGCAGACGCAGCAACGGGCATCTCGCCAGAGTGCGAACTGGGCTGCAGGCAACGTTGTGAAGTACGTGTGGCCGGAAGGAACTGCACGCGTCGTCGTGCCCTATAAAGGCCGTCGGTTCCCCATCAACCGGCACTTCGCGCAGAGAGAGCACAACGGTGGCACCTTCAGGTTCATTGCCCGATGGCACGCGGAGAAGACCGGAGCACCCACGTCAACGCCAAACGCGCGCTGCGGACACAGTCCTTCTAGCGCCTGTTCTCTTTCGTTGGGCCATCAGCCGCGGCTGTGGCACTCGAACCCAAGCAGTGAGATGCTTCCCTGAAGTTAGGGGGCTCGGCCATCTCCAGTGTCTCGCGGCTGACGGCACAGCTGAGCAACCACACGGGCGGGGAGTCGTGCGGTCTCCCGGCAGAATCAGGGAACCGTCCCAGCCTGGGGGTGCTCCTGGACCGCGTGTGCTGCAGGGCACGTGGTGAATTCTCGCCCCAACCCTCTCTCAAAGCGCTTTACCCGCACGCACATCGCCAGATTTTATAAATGGCAGACGCGAACCGTTTTATCAGTGTTGTTAAGCACCTGAGATGTAAATCTGCTTCCTTTTCCTCCCCACGTGGGCCCGAGGGAAACCGGGAACCCACGCACTGGTTGGCATCGGACCCGACGCACGCGTGGCCCGCCCAGCCCTCAGCAGCTGTGGAGGCGAGACCACGTCCAGGCCTGGCCGTGGCTGCAGGCTCAAGGCCTCCCCCAAAGCAGGCACTGCATCACCCCTGACGAGGAGTGGCGTCTTCCAACCAGCCAAGTAAGAGTGTTTAAGTGAATGGCTTTCTTAAGGGCTACACGTAATTTTCTTCAAAAGAAAAACAAAAAAGCAAGCCTAGACATGGTTTTGTGTTTTTACTAGACCACAGATTAAAAAAAAAAAAAAGGCAGGGGCGCCTGGGTGGCTCAGTCGGTTGAGTGTCCAACTTCGGCTTGGGTCATGATCTCACAATCTGTGAGTTCCAGCCCCGCATCGGGCTCTGTGCTGATGGCTCAGAGCCTGGAGCCTGCTTTGGATTCTGTGCCTCCCTCTCTCTCTGCCCTCCCCCACTCATGCTCTGTTTTTCTCAAAAAACAAACATTAAAAAAAAAAAAATAGGGCATAGTTCCACGTGCTCTGTAACCAGCCATCCCCCAGGAGTGACGGCCTCCGTGACCCGGCGTGGCCTTGAGAGTGAGACACCAACACTGGGGCGGAGCCACTGGCCACGCACCTCATTCAGTTTTCATCAGACTGTAGATTTTTAAGAAGGGAAAAACTTCATGAAATATCGGGAAATTATCTATGTCCTCTTGTATTAATGGAATAATCAATGTTTTCGTCAGAAAAAAAGGATGCCCCAGCAGAGGCTTTGTGAAATACTTCCATCTTTTCTGGTGAAATCCGTAGCTAAGGAGATTCTGGCATGAACACTCGAGGGCTGTCACGCGGGCCGTGTCTGTCGATCCCACAGACACCTGTCTTGGGGTGGGGGTCCTGGCCCGACCCGCTGGGCAGGCTCCCCAGGACTCTCCAAGCCCTTGTGCCGGGAAGAGCGGGCAGCCTGGGGGCGGGCAGGGGAGGCGGGTGCAGCCCAGGGAATCCTGTGTCAAACCGTGTCCCTACTGGACGTGTGGCCAGACCCCCAAACCTCACAGGCTCCTAGAAACATTCCCCAGTCGTGCTGGAGATGAGGCCTGGGGCCGGGCACGCTTCGCCCTGAACCCCCGCCCCCCCCCCCCCCCCCCAGGACACAGGGAGGCCAACACAGCCCCCTCCCTCCCTTCTCCCCTTTGAGGGCCACACAAGTGTTTTGAGTGGGTTTTGTAACCATCTGATGTCCCTCTTTTTGTCTTTTTTTTTTTTTTTTTACATTTAAGTGATTTTAAAAATCTATTTCTGATTTTTTTTTAAATTTTGCATTTCTAGTCATTATTTGATGAGCTTTGTGGAATACTGTCATTATTTGGGAATACTCTCTAAATGCTGTCTCTTGAAATAAATCTGTTTTACCCACTTTTGAACACTTTGACCACTTTTTAACCAGTGTCTAAACAGACGGCGGGAGACCCCCTCTTCCGTGCTTTCCCCCTCGCCAGCGCCGTTCGAAGCCCTACCACCGAGACAGGAGTCAGAGTCACTGATGGCCTGCTGCCGTGACACTCGAGGGACGTGCAGGGTCACCCCGCCATCGGGGCCTCAGGTCTGACTTGCTGTTCGAGGGCGGGGTACAGAGCGGAGGCGGGTGGTGCCCCGGTAGGAAGGAGGGAGGAGTTGGGAGGAAGGAGGCAGTAGGGTTCCTTGGGGACAGGAAGGTCAAGAAGTAAGGCCAAGAAGGGGACAGACCTCTGCATGTGCGTGTCAACCTGCACGGGGTCCCCTCAAGCAAAAATGTGCTGGGAGGTCCTCAAGAGGCTCCGGAAAGTTTCGTCCCTGCAGCGGCATGCACATGAAGGCCCTCCGTGCTGTGAGGGTGTCCCCCGGCCACAAGGGCAGGTGAGTCTCAAAGCACCCATGGAGCCTTGGCCCCCAGTGGGAGGTTCTAAGAGGAGGGGAGGGTCGGGAGGGCCAGACTGAGGAGCTGGGGGCCGTGGGCCCTGTTCAGCGCCCCACGCGGGGCCCTGCATGGTCGCGGTGGCCTCCGGGCCTCAGCACTTGTGGGGCGGGGGCACCTTCTGTCTGGGTGACTCTGACATTTGATCGATACTGCCAGCCGTGGGGGTCACTCTGAACTGCGAGGACATCCCCATCTCTGGGTCTCCAGACAGGACTCCGTGGGCTGGACTCTCTCACAAGGCTCAGCTTCCTCTCTGCCACGGCACGGGAAGGTTCCAGAAAAGAGCAAAAGGCACTTACTTTTCTTATCCGTTGTGTTGTGCACTGTCACCGTGGGGACTCCAGGACCTGGGCAGGTAGGGAGGGGGAGCCAGACAAGAAACAGAAAGAAGGTTGTTAGTGTAGACGAAGCAGGAGAGAACCCCGGCCTTCCTTACAGCTTGCACACGTGCGGGCCCGGACCGGCCCTTGTACTGCAGGCTGTCTGTCTTCCTCCGGGCCCTCGTTCATCACAAGGGGCCCGATGAAAACTCCCTATGTTCCCGCTGCAGAAACGCATTCACATCATTTTACAGAGCCTGACTTGGTTCACCCCCTCCCCGCTCCACGGTCCTTGCACCGACACAAATCACACGCCATGCGCGGAGTTTGAGTGAACGGCTCAAGCAGCCAATCCTGGACGGCTTCCTGCGAGAGAAGCCATCCCCTCCGCTGGTCTCTTGGAACACCCGGTAGACACTCGCGACCACAGCAGGGCTATGTTGTAGACTTTCGCCCGTGCGTCCGTCTCCCCCGGAACCGTGCTTGGGGCTTCCCAGCTCCAGGCTGCCAGGAAGCCCGGGGCCCCGCGGTGTGAGGGAAGGCACAGACTTCCTTGGCTTCGGTCCATGGTCAACAGCCTTATTCTCGTGAGCAAGAAGAGAGTCCAGAAAGCACAAGGGGCTTCCCAAATTATTTTTATATCGTTTTGAAAGTAGACTATGAGGTGGGCCACCTTTCTGATCTCCTCTCTGCCCGCTCTGCGAATCCACTGGACTTCTGCAGATTCTGAAGGACGCGTATCATTCTCTCTGCCCCCAGACGCTGGCATGGCTTTTTTCTTCGTTGAAGTCTCTGCTCAAATGCCTTCTCCAGCCACCCAATGGGAAAGAGCACCTCTCATGACCATGCCACCAGCCCCTACCTGCCCCTGTTTTCTTCCCCTTTAGAGAGGTCACTGTCACATTCTGTAAAGTTGGGTCCTTATAACAGAAATTTTCAGAATTTGCTCACTGTCCGCGTGTTCAACTGCACCACGGTGTAAGCTCTGGAATTTATAGGGACAAAATGGGATGCCGTCTTCCTGCCGTTATTTCTAGCACCTGGATGGTACTCGGGATATAGTGGGTACTTGACTACATGTTCACGGAGTGAGTGCTGAGTGGTGATCGCAGAGCGTCCAGGAAGGAGCCCTGTGATCCTGGGGGACTGGGGACAATGAAGGCAGGTGGGAAGCGGGTGGGCAGAGAAGGGGCCATCACAGGGACATGGTCGTCGGGTTGTTTCCTGCTCTCTGCTTCAGGCTGGGGACTCTGGGACTCTATGAGCTCACAGAGATGGGCCACATCTGAGCCGGAGGCGAACATGGACTGTCTGGGGAGAGGGATGGCTGGAGTTCAGCTTCCTTGGGGTCATCGTACCTTCTGCGTGCTTCTCTGGGGCCACCGACCAGTGGCTCAATTGAGAGCCACAAAACCTGGCACAGATTCCACCGTAGTCAGGCTTAAAGACCCCACTGCAGTGGCTAAAGAGCGGTCCCAGTCCAGGGCCCAAAGAGGATGTGCCAGGAAAACAAAGGGGCTTCAGACCCCAGACCCTGGCTGAGCTGAGACACAGCCTGTGGGTCGCACCAGCCACGGAACTCAGAGCCTGTCCACTGCCCAGGGACTGGACCCAGACACTGTCTAATGCACATCCAAAGTCCGGGAGGCCCTGGGACCTTATTCCCTCTCCCCCCTATGCCCCCTCCACCATTGACCCACAGATAGGATATTCAATCACATGGGCATTTCAGATAAACACTACAGTATATAAATATATATTTGTATAAATATGTCCCACGCAGTATTTGGGACTTACCACTAAAAAAAAATTACTTGCTGTTTGCCTGAAATTAAAGGGAACTGCATGTCCTGTATTTTTGTTTGCTCAATCCGACACCATCTCCCCAGGGGCGCAGGCAGCAGTGATCTGAGAGTCTAGGTGTTTAAATCTAAAGAGACAGCCCTCACCGAAAGGGGTTTAAACACTGGCTGTGGGTTTAAATTATTGAATCAAACTAAGTTTCCCGGCTCAAAGATCCATTTTCCCCCATGGGGAGCTCATGTGGAAGAACAGATCAGTTATTGAGAAATAAAGACACTACATCTATTTCCTCTGCACGTTTCAGGGGGAGTAAATTCACATACAGAGCGTATCCTATCCTGCATTTTGATTAATAATGTAAACAACTATTATTTATTTAGTGCCTACTATGTAGAGGCACTCTGCAAGATGTTTGACATGAGTAATTCATAACGCTCACAGTAGCCCTCCAAAGTCGATCTTACAGATGAGAAAACGCAGGTTCTGAGAGTCTGAAGCCTTCCATCCAACCCACACAGTAAGAAACTCATCCCTCCTCAGTTTTTAATTCATTAACTTGATATATGTTGCTAAAAAAATGCAAACACTGAAGAACAGAATAAAGTGACAAGTGAAATACCCTTCTGACTCCCACTTCCCAGAGGTGACCTAAATGTCTCCAAAATGTCTTAAGATGATTCTCTGTGTATATGTGGTCATATTTGCACACACACAGATATTTTAAACAGGTTCAAGTAACATAAAAACACCTGCATAGAAACCAGCAGCTTTTCTCAAATCTTAAGGCCGAACCCTATTGCCTCAGTGTTTTGTTTTTGTCTTTGTTTTTAAATAAAACATGGGCTTGAGGGCACCTGTCCACCCTTCCCTGATCTCAGCCTGCTCCCTTCCCAGAGGTAACTGTTACCTTGAGGTGACTTATCGTCCTCCTGCACCACTTAAAAGATACTTTCGCGGGGCGCCTGGGGGGCTCAGTCGGTTACACGTCAGACTTCGGCTCAGGTCACGGTGTCACAGTTTGTGGGTTCGAGCCCCACATTGGGCTCTGTGCTGACAGCTCGGAGCCTGGAGTCTGCTTCGGATTCTGTGTCTCCCTCTCTCTCTGCTCCTCCCCTGCTAGCATTCTGTCTCTCTCTCTCTCTCAAAGTAACAAATAAGCATTAAAAGAATTAAAAGACATTTTTGTCACATGGTCTGTGTCCACAATGTCATGTTTGTCACATACATCGTAGCCCAGCATCTGGAGATGGGGCCAAACGGGCAGCACGCGAGTGAGCAATTGTTTGGAGTCGGCACTGCCGTGAGAGGTGACGATGCTCGGTGCCGTGCGGCCTACATCTCCACGGCGGAGCGTCTTGCAAGCACCGTTGCACACACCCCTGCACACACCCGTGAGGAGGCGCGTAGGAGGTCCTTCTCAACAGCGCCTGTGCCTGAGCAACAGTGGCCCAGCTAACCCCTAGCGGGAGACGGGGCGGCTTAAATCAGCGCATTCACATGGAGAAGGTTGGAGAGCGCATGAAATGAATGAGTCAATCCACACCTGCTGACGTGGACGAACATGAAAAACGTAAACTTGCCTGAGAACATGAAGTTGCTGAATGGTAAATACCGTGGTAAATACTGCAATGTACAATTATGTAAGTAATTTTGAAAAGCTGTAACAGATGTATAGTATTCCATTGTATGGATATATATACATGTATATATAATTTATATATATAAGTGATGTATATAAATTGTATATATAATTTATATTATATATTATAAATTTATATATAATATATATTATATACATTATAATTAACAATGTATACATACTACAATTTATTTGGTGCCTTCCCTGCTGACGGAAATTTAGGCTGTTTCCTTTTGTTCTTCGTTACCATAAGCGGCGCTGCAGAAAACTCTCTCGCTCGTATCTTTGCGCGTGGACGAGACCGTCAGTTAAGCTAGCTACCGGCACTGCGACTGCTGTGTTGAAAGGTTTTATGGTCAGCTTTCACTAAACCAGCTTCAGGGTCCAAACACAGAGCCCCTACCTTCAGTGCTTAAAAAAATGAAAGCTTATTTCTTGCTAATGTCACGTCCTGGTAAACACGCGGCTACACTGGGTTCTCCGTGTGGTGTCCTGGTTCTGGGACCCAGGCTGAAGCTCCCAGCCCTCGTCGGGAACGAACTGGGTCACAGCAGGAGGAGGTGAGCAAGGGGGACACACGGGGGCTCCTAAAGCGTCCGGGCCCTGCTGTCATACTCACCGGCTCTCATGCCTTTGGCCAACAGAGGGGAAGGGACCTCTCTCGAGGGGGGCTGGGGTCACGTGGTGATGGGGAGGGTCCCGGGGGGTTATGCGTGAGACGTGGGGCAGCCGTCTACCGCCTCAGGCAGAGGCATCTGAGTCCTAGTCGATATAGACTCACGCTCTCTAACTTACAGTTCATGGCGGGGGGGGGGGGGAGGTCTGCATTACGACAATGGCTCCAGTGGGCAGACACAGTACTTGGCATTGGTTTAATGCACAATTCTCAGATTTTGAGTGAAGTGGGCCATCTTCTCGCCTTTCTTTGACATTTGCGTTGTGTGTGTGTGTGTGTGTGACTGCAAACTGCCCTTTCCTGCCCTTCGCCCACCACAACCGTGCTGGGGCCTGTCCCTGTGCTGTTTAGGGATTTATCTCTTTACTGCTGCTGCAGAAGCTTCTCCTGGGTTCTCCCTCATCTGTCACTCAAAAAGGGTCCCTGGTACCAAGGGTAGCAATTGCTGTGCCGAATTGAAATGAAAAAAAAAAAAAAATGTAACTGCTCCTACCAGGTTCCCACCACACCCCCAGAGAACAGAAGACAGACAGACAGACACACACAATCTGAAATCCTCATGCTGGAAATCTGGGTCCCCGGTGCCTATTCAGAATCCGGGACTCAGCGCTGTATACAAAATGCTTGCCGAATGGATTAATGGCTAACGAACAAAGACCTTTTCAGCACATACTTGGCCATGACATATCAGGGCAGCACACGGAAATCAGGCTAAGGAAGGATCTCTTAACCCCATCCCATGTCTCTGTGTTTTAGAATCCAGCTTTTTGGCTCTCTGTGGGTGCGTGGTCACCCCTCAGCCCCCACCTACCTTTTCTCTAAGTGCCAAGCATAACTGCCTCCGTCTATAAGGGTTGAAAGGCGTTCTTTTCCTTGAGAGCCACACCACAACTGTGCTGTATTCACCAC